AAAAGAAAAAGAACCTATCGAAAGGGTTATTACAAAATGATATAATAATCAATTAATCTATCGTATCGTATTACTACCACCGTTTAATCTAAACTAAGATGATAACAACAACAATAATAACGAGACGAATAATAATAATAATAAAAATAATAATAATAACGATAGTAATATAGAGTTTACGCACTTACTGTTATATTGGCATGTATTTCGTATTTCTTCCCATTTTTACCGACGAACCTGCAGCTGAGCTCGTCCACGCTCGCAGACATTATTTGAAATCTTTCATGGCTCTTTGGAAAGACGGACTCGAGGGTTTTAATCTCCTGCTTTAACGTGTTCAAGCAAGCCATTTGGGGGAAGCGGCCGAGTCTGCTATGCCCCGAATTTTTCGCCGCTAATCGCTCACTAAAAACACTAAGCAGCCAAGAGACACACGACGAACCCGATGACTACCCGACAAAATGGCGACCGCGACTGAGAACTTCGGCCGGTGTCGTGCGATTCCGTTCTACTCCGTTATCAGCTGGCGCCACTAGGTATTAATATACCAGGTTTTACTACTACGAGCTTATACGCGCCACCGCTTTTGACGTCTTTCCGTTATTCACCGCCAATCGTTCAAATTTATTTCGGAAGATTGTTAACCGGAAGTGATCCTTTTCATTTCTCATTTCATCTAATAATGACTAATTAAAAATCAAACTTACTATTTTTTTAATTTTAACTTTCTTCGAATTAGATTTTTTAATGGGTCATGATTTCTCTATCTTTCTTTCTTTCAATTTAAATTATTAAATTACAGATCGATTGATTGAGCTATTTTTTCTTTTTTCTTTTTTTTTTATATGGAGATTGATTAAAACTTAATATCGATTGTATCATGAATTTATTTGAAATATTTTGTATTTTTATATCTTATAAACTATATTTACAAAGAGATAGAAAGAGAAAGAGAGAGAGAAAGAGAGAGAGAGAGAGAGAGAGAAAGAGAGAGAGAGAGAGAGAGAGAAAGAGAGAGAGAGAGAGAGAGAAAGAGAAAGGGAGAGAGAGAAAGAGAAAGAGAAAGGGAGGCGATAGTTATATTAAAGTATAATACACGTATTATGTTTAACAAATACTAACAAATAAATGAACTAATCTAATACACTACAAATAATTAAGTTCTAATTTTTGGACTGGGCTCGTAATTCCTTGTTATTCTTTCTTTCTTTCTTTCTCTTTCAACGTCAAGTACAGAGGATATACTTTTTCTTTTCTTTCCTATAACGTTTTTCTGTTAAGTACTATTCAAAATATTTCTCGCGTAAGCCGTCTCTTTTTGCATATATATATATACATAGAAAAATGACAGTGAAATTATTAAAATTATTTGCTTTCATATCTCGGGATAAGGTTTTTAAAATAGTCATAAACATCCAGGTTGTGCCATATTACTTTGTCAATGTGTCACGCATTTCTTTCTCTTACGCAACATAATCTAATTGTAAACATAATATCTATATTTTTGCTTTTATTTCTTCTCGTTCATTTGTATGCAACAAAACAAAATTGGCTAATTTTCGACTATCATTTCTTCAAGCGTTTAAAAATACTTTTCTTGTCGTTGATTCAAATATAAAAAATAACACCTAGATGATACAAACAAAAATAATAATAAATGATGATCATCATGATGATGTTTGTAATAACAAAAAAAATGCATACAATGGACCTGCTTGCTTACTTTCATAAAAATAATAATCTTCGTACAAATATCGCGTGTGTATCTGTCAAAAATTTTTCATAAAATAGAAACAGGAGGCACCAGTCCACGGTATTATTAGTTTCTTTTTCAAATGGTAATTTGTTCTACCTGGTAAAATTCATATTTTTATATATATATATATATATGACTAATGATAATTTATAAAATAAAGTATACTGCTTTCACCGTAACAGGATGCCTGCATAATTTTATTTTTTTTTTTATACATCAAAACTCAAATTAATTGCATTTCGTGTGTGTTTGCATATGTGTTTAAGTGTTCTCTCATTTATTATGTATATTTTTTTATACTTATATATTTTTCTTTTTTTAAATCTCCAACGAAAAAAAAGGAAAATTATTCATTCATTATTTAATATGAATGTAAAGCCTCTCAATTTCAAACTAAATAATAAATAATATAGTAATAACGGAACGAAACGTTGTTATAATATTGTGTTCTAATAAATATAAAATAATACTATTATTATTCTGATCAGAGTTTTTTATAATTCTTATTGCTTCTTCGATGACTTCAAGTAACAATTTGTAATTTGTACTGGTAAAACACCGTCAGTCAAAAAGGAAGACACGACTATGCCACACTCCTTATTATACTATTCATTTTCATCATGGAAAACAAGATTCTTTGTTTATTAATTTTTTAATATATATATATATATATTTATATAATATATATATATATTTCCACTTGTTAATTTATTTTCCGTTGCTCTTCCTAGTATTTAAAAATAAATACAAACATTTCTTATTTTTCTTTTATATATACATATACATATATTGTATATATATAATTATATATAATTATATATAATTTTACATACAATAATTTTATAAATAATGAGATTCTTCAAATACAAGTGAACGAACAAGTGAACGAACTAACGAACGAACAAAAAAGAAGAAAAGAAATAACTACGCAAAACAATAAAATTTAAATAAAACAAAAAACAAAAGAAACATATACAGGGTGTCCCACGTAACTCTTTTCATAATTTTTAAGTACTTGCGATAATCTAACAAAAAATACTTTAAATAAGAGTTGATCAGTTTTTGATTGACTATATATTACAATAAAAAGAGAAATTCGAAAAAAATTATTTTTTTTTCATGTTTTTTAAGGCTACCTTTATTTTTTTAAATAGCATTTACAGTCGAAAGTTTATGCTGTTTCAATACAAAATTTAGGAACATTTAAAGCAGCGAATCCGTATAGCATGCGAAGAACTCCGCTACGACAGTATCGTAGGAGCAACCAATGCAAATTTACCACGTAGAGCGAATTGTGCCTAGCAGAACATGGATTTCAATTCGAACGTTTAATGTGACTTTTAAACGAAATCGTTTGCGTTCATTTAATCAAGGTTTATAAATTGAATGTAATTTCGAGACTTTTAACAATAAGACTTTTAAAAATAATAGTTCGTTGAGTTCGTATTAATACGGACTATAATACTATAAAATCCAAAATACAGAGTGCCATTTAAAAAATAAAGGTAGCCTTAAAAAAACACGAAAAAAAATAATTTTTTTCGAATTTCTTTTTATTGCAATGTATAGTCAATCAAAAACTAATCAACTCTTGTTTAAAGTATTTTTTTGTTAGATTATCAGCAAGTACTTGAAAAATCGTGAAAAGAGTTACGTGGGACACCCTGTATACTCCAACGAATGCAATATATTACTCGTTGCATCTTTCTTTACCCTGTAATATAAATAACATTTATTGATACATTCAAGAAATGTTGTTGAAATAAATAGAAAAATTTCGAAAGAATTTTATTTTTTTTCTATAATGTTGTTTTCTTGTTTTGTTTTCTTCTTCTTATTATTTTCTCCTCTTCGGCTTGGAATGATTAAATTATAACGCTATCTTACATACGAATTTTACATTATGATGACATATATTCAATTGATTGTTATCATATTGTAAAGACCTAATGCATTCTAAGCTGCTGCTTGCTCTGCGCTGTTGCTGTCGTTGCCGCTTTTTCTTTCTCTTATTTTCTCTTTTTTTTTTTCTTTTTTTTTTTTACATTTTCCTTCTATTATTTTATTTTTTTTTTTATTAATAATTTTGTAGAAAGAACATTCGATAAATGTTATACACTTTATTAAAAGTCTATGTACTGCAATCCTGTGTACGGTGCATCGACAAAACAAATAAAATTAAAGTCGATTTGTTATTTTTTTTTTAAGATTCGTCTTCTAATTTTGTGTTCTTCCGTGATCGACCGATACCTCACATACACTCCTGTGGTGGCTATGTATTCCTTTTAGAAACAAACATAAATATTTGATAACAGATGTTTACAAAACAAAAAAAAAACCTTCTCTTGTAATTTGACATTTTTCTCTCTCTATTTGTTTTTCCTTCCGATCTTGATAGCGCACATTCGAAATATTTTTACTAATCAAAAATCTTAACTTTTTCGACAGGTTGTTTTATCTGCGTTAATTTGGTTTTATTTTTGATGACCAACATACGAATTGAACGATTCAAAAACCATTAATGCAGCTATTTTATCAGAATATACATTAGTAACAACTAGGAACTTGACGAAGCATTACCTCCACCTTTCAAATGTACAAATGCCGATGTATAGTTTTTCTTTATTTTATTAATTTTTTTTTTTTATTATTATTATTATTATTATTATTATTATTATTTAGTTTTTATTTTTTCTTTATATATATATATATATATGTATATAATATATGTATATTATATATATGTATATATATATATATATATTTACTCTAATATGCAATAGGCATTTTTTTTGATATCCATTTAGATATCTAATACACGAATTAGGTGCATCATTTAAACATGAACCCAATGGCTTATTTATACTATCTCAGTTTGTATATGTTCACAGCACATTCTTTCTCCAAGAACAACATTTAAAGAGAAAGAATAGACACATTTTTATTTACAAACAAAAAAATATTTCGGTCGAGTTTAAAACAAAAAAAAAGAGGTATTTGTCATATATAAATTTTTTGGATTTTTTTTTTTTTTTTTATAGAATACACAGAGATTGCGTTTTGCAATGTGATTTATAATAGTGCATGAGAAAAAAAAAATTATCAAAGATGTATTATAGAAAGAAACATTACAGGAAGGGCAAATTTAAACAAAAAAACATCACATGGAACACAACAATGTAGTAATAATAATATTATAATAATAATAATAGTAATTATAATAATAGTAATAAATCATCATCAATCGCGCAAACCGCCTATATTTTGTCAGTGTTATTATTATATATGACTTTATTTACAAACATTTTAATGTTCTCATTAATGTATAAAGATATGCTTTGGAGAAAGAAATGGCTCTTCTTCTTTCAGACTATGACGTCACAGATCTCTTGTATTCTACAAACAAAAATTCAGGTGTTCCTCGTAGTATTACTCTCACAGCAATAATTCATCAAGTATGTACGTAATATCCTTTTTCTTGCTTTAAGATTTTATAGATCTTACGATATACAAATTTTTATGAATTTTTTCTTTTTTCTTTTTTTACGCGTCTCATTTTTTTCTTCTTCTTTGTTCTTCCCTCTTTTGTCGGCTTTATTTAAAACGCCGGATGATAATAATCGTACATAGGCCAGTAAGGCTGTAGCCAGTCCTAGCTAGTGCGTTGTCGTTTTTTCGGTTGGTGCTCTTCAGAAGAGTGTGCTGGTGGTGCAGGCATTACCATATCATCTCTGTTAAACATGTACTTAAACTGAGGCATGTACTTCATAATATTTCCTACTTGAATTAGCGGTAATTCTTCGTTTAGAGAAGAACATTTGCCTGCATCCATCAACATTTTCATTTGCAGTCTGCATAAGTAAAAGTAATTTCCACTTTCAGTTGTTAAATAAATACATATAATATGTACTTTTAAAAACATTTTGTTAACTTTTAAAACACTATTTTTTGCATATATATTGATTTATATAGGGAAAGTTATGTGTATATATATATATGTTACGGTCAATGTATTTCTACGGGCATTGTATAGATTGCCCAGTAAATGTATACAAAGCTGATTGACCAAAACCCTTAGTAATACATTGACCACATGTATGGTCAATGTGAAACTCACCTATTCCCTTGATATAGATCTATATTTAAGACATCCGTAAGAACTTGTCTACAACTGTTAATGTCACAAGCAGGAAAATAATTAGACACAAAATCTGGAAGCGTCATCAATAATTCTGAGTAGATGTATGGTTTAAAGTTGATACAAGGTACCATTTTGTCTTCTATTAATGCCTTTTGAACTTGGTATGGTTGCGCTTGGCAATTCGATATTGACGGTTCCGCGATATTTATCAAAGCTTTCCTTCCTCTCGTGTCCCTAAAAATATAATGGAATTATATCATATTAATAATAATCAAACAAAATTATTTATCTGAGTAACTTTATTAGGATAAAATAATTTAGTGGCAAGGCATACCTGGAACTATTATTACCTCCATTTACTGGTATTAAAGGTGGTGGATATTTTGTATGGGATGTATTGTGTACTGGTGGTGTATGCCTTTGCTGACGTGATAATAATGTCGACGCTGTTGTAGGAGCTGGCATAAGGGCTTGTACCTGTTCACTTAAGCCAATCATTTGAGGATATGTTCTGGCCGTGACTCCATCAGGAACACCCAACGAAGGTGTCGTATATGTCGTAGTTACCCTGGAATATCAGCCCTTTCATGACAAGTAGAATATATTATGTAACTTTAATTATGATCATGTTAAAGTTAAATTTTTAGATTCTTATTTGAAAATTATTTTCAAAAGAGATAATTTTCTTTTTTCTTTAATTTTTAATTTCATATTTTAACATGAAAACGTAACATATAAATACTACTTATGAGTTAGTAATTAATAAAAATTAATTTAAAACTTTCTACGCTTATAATCGTTTAATCTACGGACTAATTAGTCAGTTATGAAAATATTCAATAAAATGTGTAACTTCCAAAATGTTATATTAAAAGTTAATTAAATAATTAATTAAAAAATAACTAAACATTGTGATATAACACAAATTCGTATTAATTTTGTGCATGCTACCTTACTCTTTCTGTAGTAAAAACTATGGTACATATAACAAGGACTCACCAGTCATCCTTCCCATAAGTCGGATAACTACAGAAAAAAAAACCAGACATTGTATGTACAAATGCAAACAGCATCAGTGCAAAGTTCTACACAATAAGTAGCATTAACATCTATTATGTACGTAAATATTTTTAATATAAAAAAGAAAGGATCATAAAATAATGATACCGAATCAGTATTCGGTAAACAAGAAATAAAAGATCCAGTATGTTTTCAATGATATTTATTTCATACACATATATGTCCTAATAATATATAAAAATATTAAAAAAAAAATCACTACTACTTTACCCACTAAAATTTATTTTGTATCTCTGACATGAAGGAGTAATTTAAAATTACAAAAGAAAAAAAATAAAACAAAACAAAACAAGCATAAGTCACTTGGTGAAAGTACGACAACGATAAAGTGTAAACTTGAAAAAGGGGTGAAATTTAAATTGACGATATATATATA